ATGTGGGCTAGAGGGCAGTGGCATGATCATAGCTCACTGCAACCTCAAACTCCTAAGCTCAAGCAGTCTTCCTGCCTCAGCCTCACAGAATGCTAGGATTACAGGCAGGAGCCATGGTGCCTAGCTTTGGCATATTTTTTAAAGATGTACTACCTGGGATAGATTTGGGGATCTTTACGAGATAGATGTCTCTATTATGCAATGTTGCTAAGTAGCTATGTTGACAAGAGAAAATTTTTAGCATGGATTTCTATGATCCAAAGCAAAGAAATAAGTTGATTGTGGAGCTTTTCATTAAATTCAGCACAGCAGAGGATAAGCTGATCATATCTGAAAGTCATGAATCTGTTTTCTATATAGGGGTTGGTTGCTTCTAAAATTTTCAAGGGATTAAGATGGACATATTTTTCACAATAAATAAAAACATATATTTCCTCAATCACAAGATTTTGACTTATGCCTCCATGTCTCTTATAAGACAGATGGAAAATATTAAAGTTTCAACCCATTATGCACTTGTCTTCAAGATAAACACTAATTGGCCTGAAGTAAGAGAACTTGACAACACCCTTGGGAACACATACATAGTTCATCCTGACTCTATTTGGTAATTGGGGTGACCATCCATGTTAGCAAATTAGCTTTATCCAGAGGGATGGGCAAAAACCTTAAACCGTATCTTTAGGACAGATGTTCGTTTCACAGCATGGAGACATATGCTTACTCTAGTTAGGCTCCTGCAGTCCCACAGAAACTGAGGGATAGAGGAGCTACCTCCCTCGATAGTGACATTTCAAAGGGATGCCTCCCAAGGCCCTCAGAAAGACATTCCCAGGTTATTACGCTAACAAAAGGTTTGTTTAGTTTCTAAAAATATACATTCCAGGAGAAAGTATTCAAATTTACAAGTTTTCTAAGGTAAACGTTCTGACAAAAAGAGGAGGGAGGAAAATGACTCCCCTTATTCTCAGAGAAAAAAGCCTCTCATTTGTAATTGGTATTTGTCCTCAGGACACACACATAGACTATTCATCAGTGACCTTTATGTGGGCCAAAAGACAATTTCAGCTAATTGAAAAAATTAGATGTCACCCAAAGTTATTTCAAAATGAATTTAGAATTCAGCTCTAGTGTGTAACAGGGAGTTTTGCATTTCACCTTCCGTTTCCACCAGCTACGCGGACCACTCAGGTCCTAGCTTAACTAAATAAACCGCTATAATTGCCAGTTCTCGGGGCAGCCACCGCCCCGCGGGGTTCCTTCTCCCCCTACCCTTCCCCAGACTGAGTCCTACTCATCTCATGCCTAGGACCCGTGTCTTCACCTGCTCACAAAAGGAGTGTTTCATTTAAACCGTTTTCAATTTCAGAGGAAAAAACAACTCAGCGTTCAAATGTAAGTGGCCGACTACAACTCTATTCTTTCGCTTTAAGTCGTTGAAATAATTACTTAAAATAGGCAGGAAGGGGGAGATACCGGGAGATTCTCCCTGACGGTGATGCTGATGATCCAGTCGGAGCCGCAGAACTGACAGAGAAGGCAAGGACTTGGGAGGAGGCGGCGGAGGGAGCCCTGGTCCCGCCCCTTTCCAGGTCCCGCCCCCCACTGCGGCTTCCGCCCCGTCCCGCCCCGCCCCTTACCCGCCGTCTAGGCCCCGCCCTTGTCCCGCGAGGGCCCCGCCCAGAACACCCCAGCACCGCCCTCAACTTCCTGCCGCTGGCAGAGCTCCTTCAGATGAGGGCGTTTCTGCCTGTTCGGGTTCAAACTCGCCCTTCGCAGCTCCCTAGTCCCGAATCCAACCACACTCAGAATCCACGGCCCCCCACAAACGTTAAAATCCCCACTCCCGCCCGTGCAGTGGGCAGCCAGGCCTGACGTCACAGTGAAAAGTTCTGAGGCCTGGAAGATCTCCAGCTGTCGTAATATTTTATACCCTGTCTCCAAGATACTCCTCTTTTCCTTAGGGTGACTGCTGTTGGGATCGATGGGGACGAAGAAGTCGGTCAGGGAAGGAGAAGACTCGTCAGCCACAGGAAGCAAGACGCCATCAACGTTAATTTCTAGCAGCTTGGTGCTGTGTATGAAGCAAGTTTTATTGTTTTATATCCACAAGGAGAACGAACAACAACCAAAGACTATGTGGTTTGATTCAATCCTATCTCTAATTCCTAAGCCTCAATGAACAGGACGTGGAGACTCTTAATCCCTTCTTCCTAACCAAGTAGGCCAAGGAATTTGTTACTGCAAGTCTTCTCAAATCCCTCAAGCCAGCTCGTGAAAGACCCTTGGTGTTTTTTTGTTCCAGAAGCCATGTAGCTGTCATAACCTCATCAACACATAAGAGGTAAGACAGAAAAAGAAAACAAACTACATACTGTGAAAAGCATATATAAATTCATAAACCTGAACTCCAATATATTATTTATTAAACATAATTAGACAAATGCTCTTGTTAAAGTCAAATTTTTGTGATTTGTTTCAATTGGGTTTTTTAAATGTATATTATAGTAGTTTCTATATGTATGTTTACTAAACAGAAAACAACGAAATGGTAATAGTAAGGTCTTACCTATCAAAAATTAATTTATATGTAAATGGATTCAATCCCTGATTCTAAAGACATTGAGTGGCTGAATGAATTAAAAAAAAAGAGAGAGACCCAACTATATTCTGCCTAGAATAAACTCAATTTAAATTTAAGGGCATATATGGTCTTCCTCCATCCTTTCAAGGAAGGCATGGAGATAGAAATTCCATGTAAGTCATAACTAAAAGAGATCAGAGGTGACTATACTTACATCAGACAAAATACACTGTAAGTCAAAGTAATCACAAGACACAATGAAGTTTATGATATAATGATGAAAATATCAATACCTCAAGAAGATATACCTATATATATATACCTATATAAGTAATGTCAATACCTTGAGAAGATATACCTGTGTAAGTATATATGCACATCACAGCACCTGAATAAATAAAGCCAACACTGGCAGAACTGCAGGGAGAAATAATAATACAGTAGTAGTAGGAGACTTCAGTACCTCACTCTCTATAATGGATAGATTTTCCACACAGAAATCAATGTGGAAATAGCACAACCACCAACATTATTGACCAAATGGTCCTAACAAACAAGGACAGATCTTTTCACACCACAGCAGAATTCACATCCTTCTCAATCACACGGAAAATTTTCCAGCATAGGTCACATGTTAGATCACACAAGTCTTAACAAATTGAAAAAGATCAACATCAATCCATGTATCACTCCAAACACAAAACAAAAAGTCAAAACTAATAACAGTAAGTAAAAGGGAAATTTTCACAAATACGAGTGTTTATTTATAAATGTTTTATCTTCCTGGTGAATGGACCTTTTATCTTTACGTAAAGCCCTTTGTCTTTTGTGACATTT